TAAGGGACTGTGCGGCCCATAGGAGGAGTAGGGGTAAAGAGTAGGGGTGACGGAGTGAGAAGACATAACGTCTCTTATATACGCTATTCTTAACAAAAATCTATAACAAATTTTTTTTTATACTAACAGAYAGCCTACTGGAATCTGATCTAAATTTGCTAAATATGCCAGACTGCAAACTTGATAAATATCTGACAGAGTAATAATCAAAAGAAAATTATTATATTTATAATATAATATAGTATAACTTTATWTTTGTCTTCTTATTAACTTTTATTTTTATTCAGTGGGATGGATATGACTATGGAAAGAATATCAAAATTGTRKTTGTACCCRAATATTATATTTAAGAWTTCATCTTTAGGAAAGCGGTTAGATGAAAATCTCGCATACCTTAATAATATAACAAACGAGGTAAGAATAAAAAAATAACTGTTTGTTCCAAATTTTTTGGTTGTAAATATATAATACAGTTTTAGGAAAAATTATATTTTATTTATACTACATATATATTTATATATAACTTTTATTTGTTAAGATTATAAGGAAAAAGAAAGAGTCAATACAGGAAGAGAAATTTACCCGTGAAGGAAATGGTCCATATGCGAGTAAGAATAATCATTTCCAAAAATATTCTCTTAGTAATGTATTTATGGATAGATGCCTTTGATAATAATAATAAATAATTTGTCATTTTTCTTTAAGATAAAGTAAAAAATACGAGTACATTTCTTGACGTACTATTTGAATCATTTTACAATACAGGAGAATATTCGGAGGCGAATATTCGTGATGAAATAAAGACATTTATTTTTGCTGTAAGATTAATTTTTTTTTAGATTAGATAAGATTTATTTTTATTKATAAATTGTTCTTTACAAYTTTYTATTATTTTTTAGGGAAGTGAWACTKCTGCTGGAACTCTTACATTTTTATTTTTAATGCTAGCATCGTWTCCGGAAGTTCAAGTATATAAAGATAACCATTAAGCATTATCAAATTTATCATAATCTTTTAGAAATCTAATTTATTTTTATACAAAACTTGTGTTATTTATTTGTCATTTTTGATTGTAGAATGAAGTTTATAAAGAGCTGTACGATATGTACGGTTCAAGCAATGAGAATGATGATCCAATTACATACGATGATACTAAGAAAATGCATTATTTGGAACGAGTCATTAAAGAAACACTTCGTCTTTTTCCTCCTGCTTCAATGTTTGGACGAACATCATATAGCGATATAATAGGTATTCATATACACAAAAAATACTATTCTTATTTTTTTCCAGTATTTAAATTAATGTTTTATGTAATAATAATATGTATTTAATTATTATATGAAGTGAACGACAACATTGTAGTACCAAAAAATACTGAAGTATTTTTTTCGACATATTTTATGCACCGAAAGGGTAAATATTGGACGGATCCTTTACGATTTAATCCTGATCGTTTTCTTCCGGGAAATTATGATCCGAAGTGTTTCATTCCATTTGGTTCTGGGAATCGAGGATGTGTAGGTAAGAGCACATTATTATGCATTTTTTATTTAGTTTCTAAACTTTTTATTGCCAAAGTATATGTCTTTTTAATATGACTTTTTTAGGTAAATTATTTGCCATGGCACAAGTGAAAACAATAGCTGCTAGTTTATTGAGAAAATTTACTGTTGAAATAGATAATCCAGTATCAGTAGAAAATGTCGAAGTAAAAATTTCCATTACTTTGAAACCAGCTGAAACTATACTTTTGAGATTTATCAGACGTTAATATTTATTATATTTGTCAGTATTATGTTCCGAATAAAACAATTGTAATAAATAATTTTTTTAATAAAAAATAAATTTTCAATACATAACATTTTCAATTTTTATTTAGAATATCAGTATTTGTGTTATTATCTATGAAATATACAATATTATCAATCAGAAAAAAAACACATTTGAAAATATTACATATTTTAACAAGTTAATCGTCGTTAAATTAATGTTACATTTATTTTATTTTTCTTTTCTATAAAAAATATTTTATAAATTTTAATCTTGAACACATTGGATCTAACATTCATCAGTACACACACTCATGCGCTTGTGCATATCATTTATTTTCTCATTTACATTTAAAATTAAAACTCACTTTACGTAAGAAGAGAAAATTTCTTTGACTGTTCAGAGCATTCATGTCTATTTTATACATAAGTTACTTATACCCCTTTGGAGAGGGAAGAACGTAAATGGGACTTATTGGCCAATAGTAGGAGGGTCCACCTACCAAGATCTCCCGAAGGAAAATCTTATGTTTTTGGGAAAGGGAAACAATGCATAAAGAAACGTGATCTACAATATTGGAATGTTATTTCCTTTTATGGTATCGTACGTGCTTAGATATGAATCAGAAACCTTCAAAGGGATCGACACTGTATAAAGGGTTTTCATCGCACCATATGTTTCTTTGATCATTGAGATAGTTTGGGAATTTATGGCCCTTTGGAATTTCTTAATATTTAGGTAAACAATACCTTATCTCTGCTGCCTATGTTATTTCATGATATTTTAATTCATAAGCTTATCGCAGAATCTGTTTCATAGAAATTGAATATAATAAAAAATAATAAATATAAAGTTTATCGTCTACAAAAGATTTGTGGTAATAAGCAGTTATCGTGAATCAAATGTTTCGATAAAAAAAATTGAAGTAGATAGAAACGATTTAAATACGAATATCTTGCTACCGTAGAAGTACATTAACTTTTCATTATTTCTCGATTATCACATTGGAAATCCTCTAAACGAGGTATTCAATTTACTCAGGTAGACCAATATACAAAATATGGTAAAAGTTGTTGAGAGCTACTGCGTAAGTCTAATTATAAACCTGAAAAAAACGCAACCGAAGGTAAATTGTTCTAGAAATTATTTATTAATAAAACTAATTAATTTATAAGTTCGATTATTATTATTAATTGGCGTTAGGAACTCGAAAGTTCATTGCCGCAAATACAAAATCCCACCATTGTACCCGTCCCTGAGCGCGATTCTTCCATTCGCGGTCCTCGTATCCTATTTCTTTCAGGTCCCTTCTAATATTATCCTCCCATCTACGTCTCGGTCTACCTAGTGATCTTTTTCCGTTTAATATACCGACCAATATATTATGTGCGCCGTTCGATCCTTCCCCATGCGCGCCACATGACCAGCCTATCTTAATCAGCGTGATTTTACGACGTTGATAATGTTCGGTTTATTGTACAATCGATGTATTTCAACGTTACGGAGTTTTCTTCATTCGCCCGTTTCCTCCTCATCGCGTTTTGCATCGAAGATTAACGAAGAACTTTGTTTTCGAAAACCTTAAATTTCTTTTCGTCCCGTAACGTAAG